AACCTTCCGATCGCTGATGAGAGGGTTTTAATCTCATTTTCGTCTACTCTTAAGATTTTGAGATTAACTAAACTTCCAATACTTTCGGGCAATTGTATTAAATTGTTTGATGTGAACGTCAAGTCTGTTAACTGTAAGCAATGACAGATTTGTGCTGCGATTTCTTCAATCTTGTTATAACTGGCGTCCAAATAAGTCAAGTCCGTGAGGGCGCCGATGGTCTGCAAACACAGCCAATGGTTAGTACGTTATGTATGTTATATGTATACAAAATGGCATTACATTTGGTATGGAAATAATGCGATTGCAGTCACACCAGAGTTCAGACAATTTATGCAAACTCGTGATCACTTCGGGAAACTCGAGAAAATCGTTTTGTCCGATGTCTAGACGTCTTAAGTCTACCAAACGAGACATGGATTTGGGCAGAGCTTTCAGATGGTTTTCACGCAACTCAACGATTTGTAGTCGCGATAAACTGATGGTTACATTGATTGACACATTAATCATTTGGTGGCATCAATGGTGACAACAAATACAATACCGGCCGAAGTTTGCGGGCAAGAACTCGAGGAATGCGTCGTTGAGATAGAGTTCCTGAAGATTGATGAGTTGAGTGAAGCCATCGGGAAGTCTGGGCCCCAATGGGTTGATGGAGGCAAAATACAATACCGGCCGAAGTTTGCGGGCAAGAACTCGAGGAATGCGTCGTTGAGATAGAGTTCCTGAAGATTGATGAGTTGAGTGAAGCCATCGGGAAGTCTGGGCCCCAATGGGTTGATGGAGGCGTCGACGATAGTGAGGCACTTGCATGACTTGATGGTGTCCGGGATCTGAAGGATATTGTTTTTACTGATATTCAGTTCTTCTAATTTGATGAGCGAAGAAACGGCACTCGGAATCGATTGCAACTCATTGTCCGACAGATATAATCGACGCAAACCTTCGCAATGAAACAGTGCCTAAGATATGGGATATCAAGACATTTGATTAGATCAACAATTGAGACAATGGATGGTCTCATGTGATGACTAACTCGTGGTAAGTCTCGGATTTGGTTGGCGTCCAGATATAGCTCCTCAAGAGTTCGCTCGTGAGAGAAGACATTGTTTGGCACGTCTTGAAGACAGTTGTGACTCAAGTCTAATGCCGTCAACGGATCTGCTTTTGGACGGAAACAAAGAGATGGACAGCAATGAGAGCGACAGCCAAACAAACCCATCAATGGTTTGCATTAATGGCAACACTTCTGGAGATAATGTTTGGATCAATTCATTGTCAACTCATTTCTCGCACTTATTTGTCATCCATTTTGGCATTCATTTGATCCCAAGAGAGACATCTGTCGACCCATTC